TTTGCCGGGCGGCTGCAGTGTAACGCAGGGAGAGGCCGCGGGGCTGCGGCCTGCGTTTGTGCCACGGAGTTTGTGGTGACCGGCCAACGTCTTGCTAGTGCCTGAGATCCCTCCGGGCAGGTCCATTTGGTATCGCTGGATGGGCTGGATGGAGGGTCGTGTGTCAAAATGGGGCTTCTTGAAGTGTCGGTCAGCTTGCTGCCCAGCTGTCGTGTGTTTAGTGATGCCTGAAGTGTCACCCTTAGTGACCTGAGCTACCTCAGCTCAGCTGACTCTGTAGGTGTTCAGAAGTGCTCCCACAGGCTACTCCTCCTCAGCTGTGGTGGTGGTAACATGTGGCTTGCAGGAAATGAATAACTGGGGTAGTAGCATCCTCAACTGGCAAGAAGAGTTGCAGAATACCAGCTCCATCTGTGCTGTGACGGTCCTAGCTTGCCCTTATCTGAAGATGTTTCAAATGCCCGTGCTTCCTAGACCTTTTGAGTCAAAGCTTATAGCTTTGTTAGAGAGAAAGCTACCAGAAATGTTTGATTTGATGCATCGCTTGGTGGCACTTCTGGCCAAGCATTGCTAACTTCCTATGAAAATGCACAATTAACTTCTTATGTAGAATTTGTTGATTTGTGGAGTGTATTTGTCTTACTAGAAGGAAGTAGTAAAAACTCAAACTAACTATTTACTTTCCTTCAAGTTGCTGACTGAGGAAGAAAAGATGAAATACACAGAGATGGCCCGTAAGTGGAAAGAAAATAAACTTCCTCAGAAGCCAGTGAGAGAGGTAAACGCTCAGAAAGGAACAACTTTTGAAGTCTCTAAATTAGGCAGGAAATAAGTGGTATTTGAATTTGGTCAGAAATTATGCTATAGAAGAGCACCCTGTCTTCTAGCCTGAGAAGGCTAGCTAATCTCTGCTTTTTTTTTTTTTTTTGTAATTCTAAATAGTCTGGATGCGCTGTCCTCACCTAAACGTTCTTTGCTGGTAGTGCAGAACTGTTAAACTGTAAGTTTATAAAGTTTGAAAAAGCTTATCTGTTGTAATTTATTTTGCAGCTAACTTAAAATTGAGAAGAAGTATTTCTTTGCATACATTTTTGGCTTTGTTGCCAGATCTTATTTACTACTGTCCTTGAGATAAAGTTGATCTATAATATTGAAAATGTTAAGCTATTGTTGTTTTGATATTGAATTCTGAAAATTATGGCTGCTGTTTTAGCTCTCCATGTCAAACAGAAAGTTCTTCTGGTTTGATTGAAGATGAGAACATTCTATACCATTTTAAACCAATGCACCTTGTTCTTTTGAACTCTTTTACCAAGTAAAATGCAGCTCTTTCGTCTTCAGCAACCTAGTTTTAAGTTTAACAGTATTTTGCAATGACTCACTTCTAATGATTTTTACTTATAATACTGTAAATTGACGAGACTTCCGGTCACAGTTTCATGTTGCTTTTGCTTTGTGGGTGTCCTCAGTTGAAATTGTTCTTGTGTGACCTCCTAAAACCACACCTTGTTAAGCAGCTGATTTAGCATTCTAGAATGCCTATATATCCTGTAATAGGTCAATGAAATGCTGCAAGCTACAAAAAAAACCCAAATTATACCCAGCCATTACTTTTAAACTGGTTTGATCATGGAGAGAATAGTGGTGTTATAATGGAGGACAAAATCCCATAACGTGAAAGAAAGTAGATATATCAAGCTGAATGTGGTCAGAAATAATGCTAAACAGATTCTATTGTTTATTGTTCTGAAAACTATTTTTTTTCCTCCTCTACCAGCATTGCCCCAAAGTGTCGTTTGCTTTGGAATTTGAATTACGTGAGGTGTCAGAAAGCTTATTTTATTCCAGTGTTGGTTGGCAGTGTAGAAACTTGTGCGTCAAAACAAAGAGCCTGACTCAGTAAATGGATAATACTTCACTTCTTTTTTTCATAGTTTTTCATCCTGTGTTACTGGATGCTAGCTATGAACTGCCAAATTGTTGGTGAGGATAAATTTTAGGACAGTAGAGCACTTACATGACACTAGGGAGAATAGGAGAATGATTACAGTCTGGAGTAACTAGCTCATCTGGATTAGTTAATTCAATCAATCTAGATTGGTAGGGCGATGTTAGGGCAATACTTCCTGATTTGGGGGAGAGGGGCCTGCATGTATAGGAAGGAGCCCTTTTCTTTAAAACATTATAATCATTGTATTATTTAGCAAGCAAGGAGTAGGTAATATATGAACATTGGGTGTCATTAGTAGGCAACTACATGCGAAGACAACTAATCATAATGACAAATGGAGACTTCTGTATTTCTGTCCACTAGAGGTGGCATTTTGGAAAGTTGTATTCAGAAAGAGGAATAGTTGCTTTACCAAAGTAAAGAACATCATCTTCATTGCCTGTCAGTGGAAATGGAGAAGTGTGCATGTACGAGATAGTACGTGATCCCAGTTTCTTAATCACACCCCTGGACACAGACAAGCACAGTTGTTTTTGTAGTTAAAGCTCTTGGTCATCTTTTGGAGATGACTTGAGCTTACTTGCATGGAACTAAATGTGCATTCCTGGTTTTACAGTAAAGAGTTAAAAGTGACTATCACCAGACTTTGCCTAGCAAAGAAGGTCAACCAAAGTCAGCACATCTAGGATGCTATTGACAATGTAGGTCTTGAATGATTGAATTCTGTAAGCCTAGCAGGTTTCTAGGTAAATGGCCCAAATCATCCTGTCCTCTTCAAAGCTTATTGTTCATATGTGGGTTTGCAATGTTTTGTTTAATGGCAGATGGCCCCTTTTACTTACTCTGCACCAGAGTAATCTGATGACTTCCTTGAGTCTTTATCAGCTTTCATGAATGCCGTTCCTCGTCAAAGACAAATAACGCACGTGCCAATCTTTTTCATCGAGTTTATGTAACCATTTTGAAATTCCAGTTTGAAAAGTTCGCAGCATGTAACAAGTGGTTGAACCTAACAAAATCATAGATGTGTTTTAAATATTTTTGTCACATTTCAAAAATTTAGCTGTAATTCTTCCCAGTTGTACTGAGTCGACCTATTTACTAAGATACCTATTTCTTTTTGTTAGAATAGAAAACTTGCCTTCCCATTCCGCAAGTACACAGGCACTTGCTTGTAGTGAACTTTTTTGATTTTTAACTTTCTCATCTTTTCCAGGTGCCTAATCTGGCTCATCCAGTTCCTGCTTGTCTGACCACAAAGACACCCAGAAGTGCTTCTCTTCCAGATGCCTCTGCTGTGTCTTGGAAGAATGATCAGGGTAACCTTAAAGCCGTTGATCCTGACAGATAAAATCTTGCCCTTTGTAGATGTACTCAATGGCATCTGTACAAAGGCTGTTCTACTTTTACTTCTGTGGTTTACAATCCTAATCCAAGTTCTGGATAAAAGAATGCTTGTACCAAGTTTAAAGACTGAGGAGTTGTTGGATGTCAAACTTAAAGTTTGGAGTAGTGTAGCTGTTAGATAAAATGATGATGTGACCACTTTGGACAGTAAGGGGCGGGGGGGGTTGTGCTTGGTCAGTGCTGTTGTAACATCCCAGCTAGCTTGCTTGTTGAAAGGACTCCTGCAGACTAATCCTTTCCGTTCTGTACTCTCCCTTCAAATGGATGTTTTGGCTAGAATTGAGTAATGAACACATCTGTAACTGTTTCCTCAGTGAACAATATTTTATTCTGCAAAATGAATGGTAGTACTTACAAGCTAAGTTGAGCAGCCAGTCAGTACAAGCTATACCTGTGCTGTGCATTTAGTTAAGTCTCAGCTCAAGCCTTTTGCCTAACAAGCCTCTTGAGCTTTTTTCATGTTGTCATAGTTAAGGAGAGATAGGAGGAAGTAGCTCCATAAATAGTGTAAAAGATAGCTTCCTCTGTCTTTGCTCCCCTTATCATGATGCAATCAGGTCGATCAGGCTTAAGCTGACACAACTAATCTCTCAACTGAACGAGAGGGATGATGGTAAGGAGCAACTGAGATGCGTTTTATGATCCTGCTCCTTCATATTTCTCAGCAAAGTTCCTATATGGTTCCCCATGACTATTACTTTTCTTATGAAAAATGGGTATTCGTAATTGTGTAGGAGCAATGTCTATTCTATGGCCCTGCAGCCCATAGAGATTAAGAGCCACGTAAGAGATCACCAGAATTCAAACTTAGAAAAACTAATACTGAATGATGTAAAGTCTGGCCTTCAGCATCAGTTCTGTGTGGAAATAGATATACATCTCTACATATGTAGCAGACCAAGATTTTTCTGATGAGGGGCAGAACTTAAGGGTAAGGATTAAATAATTACTTTAAACTTCAGTGAGAACATTATGTGGCATTCATGAATAGAAGCATTAAGATGCATTTTTAAAGTCAATGTTTTTCATAGTTTGGACTTTCAGAATTAATAAATGTGGGCTTGCCTTGGGTGTTCTTGCTTTCCTCTTTGGGAGTTCATTTAGTGAAGGTGAAGTGATCCCTTAAATTGCCAGATGACTTCTCATCTCCTCTTACAGCATAAGATTATCAGCTCATTTTACTTCCATAAGTTATTGAATTGAGCTTGTGAGGCTGCTTTGTAGTTACGGATGTGTTTTCTAATACCCTTTTCCTAAAGGGCAGAGAGTACTATTATAAAAAGGAACAGTAGCTCTTGATGGCTTCCAGGCCTCTTGTGGGTTTTAGTAATGTTGGTGAGTTTTTTTTGGGGGGGGGGGGGGGGGTGGTCTTGTTATCTGTACACAATACCATCTGGACTTAGTTAAGTGGAAGGGACCTTGGTATTGGGATCACCAATGTGGGCAACCCAACCCTTGCAGAAGCACTGGCTGTCTTGACCTCTCACATGTCTTTTTCCATCTGTGCATTTTACTTGGTCGTTGCTACTTTACTAACTTACATGGTCAAGCACACCAAAGCTTTTACTGGAGGGGATGAGGCAGGGTGGCTTGTTTTAACCTCTAGTGGCTCTTCTGAAAAAAGCTTCTTCTTTCAGCTGTGGTTGCAGACATCATCTACTTCCTGAACATTTACAGCCATGGGGAGCTGCTGTCTCACTGTGAGCAGCGCTTCCTTCCATGTGAGATTGGCTGTGTCAAGTACTCCCTAAAGGAAGGCATAATGGCTGATTTCCATCACTTCATAGATCCTGGTGAGCTCCAAGGAAGGGAAGAAAAGAAATAGTTCAACTTGCTCTGGGATGAGAGGGAGACTTATTAGTGTCACTTACTGCTGCCCAGTTCAGACTTGTGGTATTAAGATAAGTTTTTTTTCTTTGACTATAAGTGGTTTGGCTTCTACTTAAAACACCTGAGTAGTACTTTTTTCCTGTTTGTTTTTGAAGAGTTGTGCTGAAGTGTCAGAACTGTATGAAGACTTCAAAGAGGACAGAATAAATCCAGAAAGAAGACTTTGGCATCAAATATGAAGCACAAACATCTAATGTGCTCTTGTCTTGATTGGATGTAAACACAAGTTATACGATATGCTTTTTTTTTTTTTTTTTTTTTGCAAGTACAAATAGAATTGAAAATGACTTTCTCAAAGAGTTGTGGTGTTTGTGCAAGCCACAAGGGTAGATAAATCTGCTCCTTTCAGTACATCATAGTATGGTGGGGAGTGTTCAGAGTTAAGGATTTGTCATTTTGTTTGTTGGGTGATGGCTTTTTGTTTTTTTTTGTTTTTTTTCCCTTGCTCTTCTGCAGAAGTACCACCACGTGGTTTTCGGTACCACTGCCAGGCTGCAAGTGAGTATCAAAGGGGAAAGAAGAATAGAATGCAGGGTGTACATTTTCTTAGACTGAGCTTACCTTATCTGTATCAAATATTTTGCAAGTCTCTGTAGTTTTTCCTTCTGGAAAGTTAATCTCAAGCTTAGAAGAGAAAGGGGTGACAGAGCAGCTCGTCACAGTCACTTTGAATGGTTCTTATACCTACAAATGTCAGAAGACTTCACCCACAATTTTCTTGTCAATGACAGAGTTGTTTGTATTCTGCCTTCCTATTTTAATTTGCAAGTAACTGCAGTATTTTCTTCTTAAATGACACAACTTATGTGGCTTTAGATGCTTTCAAGACCATCTGAACAAGGCATCCTTGCACTGATGGCCGGTCTTTGTTTATATATCTTCAGTATGAAGGTTCTAATACATAATAGAATAACTGAAAGACACTAGTTTATATTTAAAAGTTTAAATCTTTTGCAGCATTACAGATAAAAACAAAGTTAAAGTATTCATATCACTGTTGTGTCTGGCTTGGCCTGCCTTTTTTCCATTGTGACTCTTAAGTAGTGTTTATAAATTGCAACTTGTTCCTATTAGTAGACTTCCTGCCCTTGTGTACAGAAGGAACTGACTTGGCCCCTGTTTTCTGCTCTTAGATATGTAGATAAAGGCCTTTTAAAAGGAGTGCGTGTGCGTGTGTGTGCTCACAGCCTAGACCCACTAGTCTTTTACTGATGGAAGCAAGGTTTTGATAGCTTAGTCACAGATATTGCCTGTAGAGAACAAGAGGGGAACTTGTGTGTGTGTGCACATATGTGTATATGAGAAGGTATAAAGGAGGTGAGATTGTATCTTTTAAGGAAACAGGACTTCTTGTAACCTGTTTTTTTTTTCCTCCCCCTCTACCTTCATTAGGTGATAATACTCATAAGATCCCTATATCTGGATTTGAGCTGTCACGTGCTCGTTACCCAGTTGTCTTACGTGAACTTCTTGCCTTTGTCCAGCCATCTGGAGATGTTTGGCCTCGATTTTACTGCAGGGTATGATAAAGGTCAAAGTAAGGGACTCTGAATCAAAACCTCAACTTTCATTTCCACTAGACAACTAAGGACAGACCACTGTAAAAAGTGCAGGAAGGAATAGCCCCATTTGAAAAGTTGGGGGATTGAATCTCTTGTTAGCAATTCAGACTTCTTTCAGTAACCAAAAGTGACAGGGAGCCTGAATAAAATAAAAATTCCCCCCCCCCTTTTTTTTTTTCCTGCTGGGAAAATAAACTAACCTTTTTATATAGCAAAGACTCAATTTTCTGCTTTGTTTCACCTCTGGCTTTAGTCTGTTAATGAACATCCACAACATCATGTTGTGGAGTCTCCATCCTTGGAGATGCTCAAAACGCAGCTGGACAACATCCTGGGCAACCTGCTCTAGGTGACCCTGCTTGAGCACGGGGTTTGGACCAAACGATCTCCAGAGATGCCTTCCAACCCCAACTATTCTGCGATTCTGTAATGTATCACCTGGTCTCTGGCATTGTTTTGACTTAGGTTAAAGGCTTTTGATACTGTACTTAAATTGATTGTGCTGAAAAATATTTTATTGCTGAAAAGCAATCCTACTTTTTAAGAGGTCTTTTTATCTTTTTATGGAAAACAGACTTTGACTTTTTCCCCCATGAGAATACTGTACATCTTATTTTTGCTCAAGTTTCATTGAGTTGCCAGTGAATCAAACAAGATATTAGTATTCAGTGGAGTTAAAGATTTTTGACAACTTTTTTTTTTTGGATTCCATTCAAACTAATGTTAATCCGTAGAAGGGAGGGGTGTGAGATCTTGGGCTCCACACATAAATACACTGCTATGAAGAAACGTGCGTGGAAAAAATGTCCTCTACCATTTAGTGGAGACATCTGTAATATTGGTTAACCTTTAACCCGTCCCCAAACATTTAGTCCAAAATGTTTGCTGGAGGTTGGTTGGAAGAATGCCATGGAATTTGATTATTCTTCAAGGTAATTTTCAGGAAGAAGGGGATTGAGTGTACAGAAACATTGAGTTTAGTTTTGGAGATGACTTTTTTTCAGACATAATCGGTAAGAGGTCTTGCAGATGTCAGAGAACATATAAACTTCTTGAACATGACCTAAATTTTCTTTTTCTCTAGTGTAATGACAGATACCGAATCAGCTGGTGCCTCAGACGAATGGCTAGCGTATCAGGTGGGAAATTGATCGTATTGGGCTTTTGTTTTCCCAGGAACGAAGAGTTACAAAATTTTGAATAGCTTTATTTGTCAGAAGGATTTCAGGTCTCAAAGATTTACGCAGGTGTCATAAAAGAAAAAAATTCGGTGACAGTGAACAGCTGCATGGTCAGTCAGCTACCCAGCTACCAGCTAGTAAATGCATCCGTAGTTTAAACAGCATACGCTGTTTCTTGTTCAGCCACTTAAAGGAGCATTGGCGGCAATGAGATTACTGTGAAGGTGGGTTTGTGGTAACAGATGGGAATACGAAAGGCTTCTGAGCAAAGAAGGTGCATGGGTAGGATGCAGAATTACCGAGGTGAAGAAAATTATGGGAGTATAGGACACACTTTGCTAGAAAGCCAGGTGTTATTAGTATTACTGATAGAACAAGTTATTGATATTTCCAAGAGCTTTGAAGCTCTGGTAAGAGACTGGGCAGTGACTAGGGACTGGGCGAGAAGCAGGCAAGCATTCTATTAAGCTGACTTTCCGGTTCTGCTCCTGAACTTGACTTCCTACGAACTGTAGGCATTGAGAGCCGTCTGGAGCTTCTTAATGTAGAAGACCTGATAGTAGAACTGTACTGGAAGAAATATCAAAAAGAGCCATCCAGGACTTGGGTGTGTAAAGAACTAGATGTCTTCCTGTGGGATTACTCCAGCAATACCAGGTATGTTGAGTTCTTATTTGTGGAAATGTGTATTAGCCTGACATCTCTTGGTGCACTACATACATACAGCTTGTTCCCTGTTACACTGAATTCCTCAGCAAACCTTCTAATCAGAAATACTTCCTATCGCAGCATGAGTACAACTGGAAATGCAAAATATTATATTTCCCAAAAAGGAATATGAAGATAGATGGCTTTTAATCCCGAGTCTGGGGCCTAATGTAAAAGAGGAGAAAAAAAAAAAAAAAAAGAATAAAATACAGGATGGTATTTAACTGGAGATCATCGAAGTAAGGAGATTCCGACTCTCACAGAAGTGTAATTTGGATGTGAAGCTGGCTCTTGATGTACATCAAATGCCTCATGCTGTTGCTGTGATGAGGGACTAGGTATGCTTGCCAGTAGTAGCAATCAAATTTTCAAGAGTAAAAGTTAATCTAGACCTTACGTTTCTTTTTTTTCTTCCCGAATAAATCTTCCGGTTCTTTACAGTAGCTCTGCAACTCTGTTTACTTTGTAGAGTTTTTTCTTTTCCCTATGTGTCTTGTATGGTAAAGCTTTTTCTACTTACAGTTCCCTATTTGTGCAGTGATGTTGTATATAGCATGTGATGTTGCAGGGAAGTAGTTAGTGTTTATGCAGTTAACTTAAACATTCTAACTTTTCCTTTCCTGTTGTTTTAAGTAAGAACCAAAGATTTCATCTTAAGGTTTGAATCTTCTTAAGAAAATGATTGTCCTTGAAAGTCTGCTTACGCTGTGGATTTTGAGACCGCTTGGGATAGTCAGTGTTACTTTTTCCTCTCATAGTCAGGCAGTTTTCCATTTGCATGAATAGGCTCACACTAGAGGGAGACATGAACAAGAATGGGAAAATGTGTTTAAAACACGAATTTGCAGAGGAGAGTGGTGATGCTTGTAGTAAGAGACTTGAAATTGTTTTCTATAAATTCCATTTCTCTCATATGATCCTCGTTTGTCCCCTTTCCAGCCACTCCAGCATGGAGCAGACTGTTTCTTAAGCAGAGCTCGCTCTTGTATCTGAGTCATCTAGATCTGAATTCCTAAACACTGGTTCTCTGTGAAATTTTAAAAACATCTCGTCTCAGTGACCATATAGAATATCTTTAATGCTTACTCCTATTCTTTCTTACCAGGCTAGCTATTCGTGTTAATTAAAGATGGAGATGCTTCTATACTAAACCTGAACTTCGTTCCATGTAGGTGCAAGTGGCATGAGGAGAACGATATACTTTTCTGTGCTTTGGCATCCTGTAAGAAAATTGCGTGAGTATGGCAAAGGAGCTATCTTCAATATGGTGGCTTCTTGTTTTGTTACATTTTTGACTCTGACCTCTCAGACTTCTTTGAGCGGTGTGGTTTTAAATCCTGGGTTTTATTTATTCCCTCTACCTCCAGGACTTTGTTCTATTTATATCTTTAATTTTTGTTTGTTTGGCTTAATAGTGTGCTGTAAGCAGCAGCAGCTAATGTAATGTAATGTCTGTGGTAGTAATGTCCATTACTTGGTTTGTAGTCATCTACCTCTACTTGACCTCTACCATCTATTCACTACTTCCACTTGACCCTGGAGTGTTGAGAGAATTGTTTTTTACACAAGAATTTCACAGTTTTGTTCAGAGGTTTAGTATACCTGTATTTGGTGGCAAAAATCTCAGTATATTCCAGTCCATCTCTACTTTGCAAATTTTTATGCTCTTTTACATACAGTGTAGATACATACTTTCTGTAATCTTTTGGATGGGAGGGAAGGGAAAGTGAGTAGTTTGGAAATGGGGAAATGCTATGATTGACTGAAATCTTAAATGGCAACGCTATTTGAGAGAAACAATAATGAACAGTCTTTCATTCAAAAAATTCTGCTATGTTCTGCTATGCCTTGCTGTTGCTTTCCACGTCTTTAAGTGGTTGCATTTCATAGTGCAGGGAAGCAATTGTTTTAACTTCATATGTAGTTGTAGAGTAGAGTGCTGGCTTTGGAAGGATGATCTGAAACAATCTATTCGTTAGGATAATGTCCTTCTGCCCTCTGTCATCTTCTCTAAGCATCTCAGTCTGTGATTCCTTTTTTTTGCCAGTCGAAGAACTAAGAACACTGTGCCTCTGTACATGAGCCATAAAGTGCAGTCCTTCTAACAAAACTTCTTTCTTTCCCCTCCCCCCCACCCTTGGTCAAGTTATTGTATCAGTAAATCTTTAGCTAGTGTGTACGGCGTCTCGCTGACAGCAGCTCACCTACCTCTTGAAGACTGTGGTTCCCCTGACAGCACAAATGCCAAGATAGTAGTACTGGATGCTGGGCGTTTCCAGGTCAGATTCTTTAAATCTTTAAATGCTATGTTATTTCTAGCTAACCTGAGCATTCTAAACAGAGCAAACTTGCCAATTTCACGTTAGCTATTTTCTCTTTGGATGTTAATTTTTGAGTTGTGCTAGGTAGACCAATGAAAATGGTCACTACCTTGATTATTTCTTTTAAATTTGCTGTAGGTCTTGATTTCACTCTCCTGTGACCGTAGAGTCCTGCTCTAGTGCTGCCTCTGAAATAAGCAGTGAGGACTAATTCAAATCTAATGCATTTACAGGAAGTCAGTCAATATTAAATGTGGTCATCTTTGACCATAATTTGGCTATCGTGAGTAGCTGTGGTGCGTACTGTGCTTTAGAAGACACATCTGTTATTTTGAGTGTTTATTTCTTCACACAGAATATGAAAGCTAAGAGTTCTGGACATGACAGCCACTTCATTTCTCCAAGTCAGGATCAAGGATTTATCCCTTCTGCTTGTGAGTCTGAGAAGCTTTACCTCATGATTGTATTGCTACTTTTTCAGATTTCCGAGCTCACATGTCCTCTGTTATTGCCCGAAAGCTTGAGCGGCTCTGTGTGAGCTGAGCTTATTTGTGTATACAGTTGCAGATTTCATTGACTATCCAAAGACTTAAACATATAGAACTATCCTTATGGTCGAAAAGGTCTCTTCAAACTTAATTTTTCTTATAAATGTTGTTATCTGATTTCTGCCCCCTTATTTTTCTTTTACATGAAGAAGTCTTTTTCATATGCTTATATGCACTTTGAGGCAGTCGTCTTTAAAACAGTTTATTTGCTGCTAAATCACTATACGTGCACACTCAGTTGGTACTTGTTGCAAGTATTCTGCTCTAATTCAGTTAATAAATTGCTCATTTAGAGTCTTCCTTGTAGAGCTAAAATGTTTTTAATAGAAAGCATATGATCTCAATTCATCTGGGCAATTCATGGCTAATCTTCTGAGAAGGAGAGAAACAAGTTTGCAGGACAGATAACGAAGAATTCTGGGCTTGCAGCTTATTTTCCTGCATTAAAATACATGTCGTCTTATATCTGAAACTGTTCCAACTATAAGTCATGAGATCTTAAATGAACTTGGTGTTCATGGAGGACAAAAGCCCTGCCTCTGACCTTTTGTATTAGAGCTATTGAATAGATTCAGCTTCAAAGCATATGAAAGACAATTCCGTTAATTTATCCAGGCTTTAAAGGCTGATTTGATTTGCAAAATGTATTTAATTTAATAGGTGGTTCTCCCTGTGGTGTGAAGACTCCTCCTTATGGAACGAGTACCATGCGAGGAAGAGGAATTACTCGATTGCTGAAAAGTGCATCTCATCTAGCAGACTCTTTAAGTAATTGAAAGTTTGCTTTACACCCAGGACAGCTGTACATTCTGTCTTTTCTTGTTTCTTTAGGATAACCAGTAGTTTTTCCAGACTGCATTTTTTCATCTTATGTGCAACGCTTGACTGTTCAAATCCTTGTTAGAATGATAAAACTATTGATTGGATTTAAATAAGAATGAAATCTTGGTTTCTGTCTACAGGGAGACGTATTTTGAAGGGACCTGGCAATTGCATCCTCTCTTTAAAAATAAATACCATGTTCTGTTTTTTAATGGTTGGAGCAGAAATGTAAGATCAAACAGTCAGTTCCATTTGGATTAGAAGAATTGAGACATGGGCCACTAAAGAAGTGGTTTATTTCATCTTTAATAACCTCCATCCACTCCTCTGTATATGGAAGACAGAATTTCAGTGCATAACAGTTCCGCTCCGTAAAATCGGTGGTGGAGAGCAGTGGATGTTTGAAGGGCTGCATTAGGGGAATTAGAAGTCTAGTAGTCTCAAAGAATTGCTGATAAGCTCTCTCTTCTACCCATTAAGGATATGAGTAGTCATTCAAGGCAAAAAGCAGACGTTCTATGAAAAGCCTTGGAAAAATGTGGTGGCAGTTTTATCCATCTGTTAATGTTCTTTTGGAGACAATGAGCAGATATCAGGAACAAGCACAATATGGATATATTTTTTTCCTTTGCATCATTTCTGCAGTTAAATTATGTCCCTTAAACTCCTCTTGAGAATCTAAGGATGTTTTCGTTTGTTTCTTAAACGAATTTCAAAATCAAATGGGTATAATAGTCTGCAGGTGTAATTTCTACAAGTTTATTAGGACTGGGGCAGATACCAGTCATAATTATTTGAAGGAACATAGAAACCGGGAGGCTGTCCGACATATTGCTAGAAAGTTAGATTTTTCATCTTATGGAGATACAAGTCTTCGACTAGCTTTCCAAAATTTTTTCTGTTAGTCTGAGCCTCCTCCTTAAATCCTATATCTGATTCCGGAAAATAAGAGCTTATTTTCTGAGCTGTTCCTCCATTTTATTCCAGCTGAAGTCCAGTTGCGAGATACTATTTGCACAGCAGCTAACCGTGAGATGAAATTGGTTTTCTTCCTTATAAGAAGTAAAACTACAAATAAGGTAGTTCACTATTTTGGATAATAGAAATGAATCAGAATAAAAAGTCAGCACACTTGTGAACGAACTCAGGCATGCTGACCAATATATTAAAAGAGGCCAGTTGCTGACTTGGTTGGAAATCTGTTTCAGTTGCTGTAAGGATGTTTTCTTCCAGTTCAACAGGGTCACTGAACCATTTTGATACCTCCTACCTAAAAGTTTGCTTATTTCATTGAATTTTCTTGCATGATTCTGTGTTTTATTCCATTGAAGCCATTGTTCTACCTGGTAGGCTTCACCAGATAAGAGAATGTATACTTTTGAGACTAAGGTTTATAAATGAAGCATATGGAAACACTGTAACAGGGTTAGAGTCACTATTTTGTGATGGTAAAGGCTTCTCTACAAGTGGAAGAAGGTCGTTCTAGTTTTAAGTTTCTTAACTGACAACATTCCAAAACGTACAGAACTGTAATCACTGAATTATTTTCAGAAGTCAGTATTGTAATAAATGTTTCATATTGCAGTTCTACATAAAAGAATTATTCTTTTATTCTTAAAATATTTATTTTGCTGTCAGAGTAAGTACACAAACTTAAGAACATTTGTTACTATGCTTGTCATTGTGTAACTTCAAGATTGAGATAAAAAGTGTTACCAAAAATGGAGAAACATGAGGACCAGGGCCTATGAATATGAGACAGCTTCTAGTTGTCTGAAGAAGGCCTCATCTGGTTCCTCCTGACCAGGCAGTCTGCAACCAACGCCCACCACAATGTCGCCCAGGTTTGGGCTGCCCTCTAATCCTAACCCTTAAGCTCTCGACTGGCTCATCGTTCATCCCAAGGCAGAGCTCTCTGCATTCTCACTGCTCTCCTCCATTAAGGGCAACTCCACCTCCTCACCTTCCAAGTGTTGAATTATTTATTATCTAGTTTTTGCCCTCCTGGTGTCTTCTGCAGGGTTATCAGACCCTTACCTCCACCCTAGAATGAACTGTCAATTAATTTTTGTTGTAGTGAGTCAGTAAAACGAAGAAATTGTCAAATGCTATTTTTGGTGTAACCCTGTATTATGTCTGTTCCCTCACTTTTCCTTCGTTCTGTCTTAGAAGCTCCCACAAGCTTCTGCAATTGCCATTTTCAAATAATCCCCTTCCACACATGCAAAACAGGTGACAGGCAGGAGAGAGAGAAGTTCCAAATTCCCTTATGTAGGGCTATAATGAATTTATTACTAGTGCCAGTGCACCCAGAATTAATCTTGACAGTTTGCTCATCATACTGTAAACTTCTTTAGACAGAAGACTGTGTCAGTGTCTTTCCTGAAACAGATGATACAAATAAATAGAAAAGTAATGCTGTTACTTTAGCAACAAGAATTTTTGGAATAATTAACTCTTGTGTATCTGATCAGTTCTGAATTGTGCTCCGCCATGAATCTTGTGATAAGCAGTGGCAGCCTTGGCTTTAGTAAACGTTCAGTG